AAAGGGATCTCTGAAAACGGGCATCTTTGCTGGCCCTGGGTCAGGACGCGGGAGGTAACGACGCGGGAGGTAACGACGCGTAATGTGACTCTAGCGAGAATCAGACAGCCTCGGAACACGTTAAGAGCGTCCATCCAGGGGACAATGACCAGGGGAATTTGTCCAGTGAGCCCCTGAATTTGAAAATTGTCTGATGGGTGTCTTCTTTTAAAAGTAATAACCAAGGCGACGATGTGGATGGATCTTGAGATTATCATGCTAAGCGAAAGAACAAGTCGAGAACCGTGGGCTTTTACTTACACGTGGGCGTGAAACTGAATGCAGCCAACAAACACGGCGAACGGAGACGCGTGAACACAGACAGCAGACTAGGGGTTACCGAGGAGAAGGGGGAGGTAGGTAGGGGTAAAGGGGCTCAAATTGATGGTGGCGAAAGGAAATTTAACTCTGGGTGGAAATAATAACAATGATAATAACCAAACATCCTTTGCTGTTGGCCCAAAGATTCAGACAAAGGCACCAATGAAGACAGTGATGCTTTATAGTTAATTTCCTACAGATTTGAATGCTCCAAGGCAGGAAACCATCACTAGATCCTTCGGCCTTAATCAGTATCATGTTATAAGTAGCCTCAGTATTTTTCATTTGGGCATGAGAAGCTTCACAATTTATGAAATATTGCATTCCAAGTATGTGTTTACTTCATTTTTACAAATTGCCGATGGGATAGGTACTGTCGCTTTCAGAGCAATTAGTGCGGGAAAACTCATCATAAGAATTCTGCCGCGTTTGAGTCCGTATAAATATTGCATGGAACTCCCCAAGGAAACCAAGCGGAGCGGGATAGGTTTGTGCCGGTTGCAGCACATGAGAATTTATTTGCTTTATACGCTGGGCTTTCTCTTTCAGAATGTTGATAGCATGTCATGTAACCCATTGGATTAATGTTTTGCTCCGATAAAAACAGACTTTGGTTCTTAGGCCAACACCGCCTTGTCTGCGGGTGAAGTAACAATACTAGCCCTCCACTTCTAAACATGGAGAGCTCTTGCCGCCTCCCGGAGGGAGCCCCGTGATGGGAGTGTGGCTACACGCACTGGGCGACGGGCTGCTCTGCCTGGTGCTGACTCCCGACCTTACCTGTGCGAGGCCTCCGAATTGCCATATTTTTTGTTTTTTAATCGCATTTATGCTATGGTGAAAACCATGAAAAGCCTAAATAGACAGACAGGCTAAAATTGGAAAGATGCACCTAGTAATGGCTGTTGTTCTGTCGCGGGAACGCGATGGCTAGAGAATTTCCATTTGATGCAATTTTCATAAACTTTTTTAAATGTTTACCTTTTGACCTCCTTCACCCGTTTCTCCCACCCCACCTCTGGCAACTACCAGTCCATTCTCCGTATCTATGAGTTTGATTGATTGGTTGACTTTTAGATTCCACATACAAAGAAGCATACAGTGTTTATCTGTGTCTGACTTATTTGGCGTAATGTCCTCGAGGTCCTTCCACCCTGTGCAAACAGCAAGAGTTTATTCTTTTTGCTTACTACTAGTGTTCTATTGTATATATATATTTCCGGGTTCTCTATTGCGTTCCACTGATCTATATGTTTATTTTTATACCAATACGGTACTATTTCAATTACTGTAGCTTTGTAATGTAGTTTGAAATCGGGGCGCCTGATGCCTCCAGCATTGTTCTTCATAGCTCACATCTTTAAAATGAAGAAATAGGACAAGTGATTCTTTGGTACTTTTTAGGTTTCCCACATGTTTTGCCCGCTTTCACGTCTACATTCAATCCAGTATATTCTTTATGCTCCTTCCTCCTCGTCTTGGACAAAAAATAAAAAAATAAAATAAGACATTCCAGGTAGCGATATTTGCTGTGAAAAAAAATTAATTAATTAATATTCTTTTTGGAGCTTTTCTACCCCCTTCAGGACCCAGCATTTAGCTCAACCAGCGTACCAGCCGAGATGTTTTGGCTGACCTTTGCCCTTGAGGGCTCATAGTATTTACAAAGGTCACATGCTGAGCTGGTGTTGGTTTTCATCCTTGGTGCCATCAATCCATTGGACACTCGTCTTGGCAGCTATGGTGTCTTTCTTCATCCGCGGCAGATAATATTATCGTGTCATATTATTATTACACTGTGGAAAACTTGTTACAACTTTAATTTAATAGTTTGTTTTTTTCTGGTGTTCGTATTAATGATTTTCTCCAAAACAAAAGTAATACAGTTAATCGCTTTTATGTTGTACTTACTCTATCTTGAAGACATTGAATTATTAGTTCAGGGTTTCCCAGCCTAGGTTTTGTGAGCTGTTAGTAAATGTTCAGAAAAATGGTGGATGTTTAAAGAGGAGGGTGGGCCGACATTACAGGAGCAAATAAGTCTGCAGTGGCTTCCACACCCTCAGGAATCTGAAGAACGTTGCCATGTTAAAAAGGTCTTGCAAGTTTTGAAAGGAGAAATTTAAAAATCTGTTAAACTTTGCTTAATCCAGAGTTTCTCAAAGTCCTCTGGTCATGCAACCCTTTTAAATTTGGCCATTCAACCTTTTTAAATTTGGTGCAGGGCAGAGAACTTCTATTAACGAGAAATTAATATTCGAAGGACCCCGGTTTAGGAAATGCGACAGTATGAGCTTAAACCCAGAGTCGCTTAAGTCACAAAAACAGTGAAACCAAAATAACTGACTTATTTTTAAATAGATCAAAAGGCATGTTCGTTGAGTATAGTTTTTTTCTTTTAAAATAGTTAGCATTCAGTGCTTCAGAGCGCTTCTACATACACTGGCCCTCCTGGCACACCTGCATCCCATGTGTTACCATCCCGTTTGAAGGACTAGGGGGTGGAAAGTGAGAGCTTAAATGTCTTTCCTTATGTAATGCCAGTTTGAATTTTGGTGCTCTGGTCTTTTTTAAAATTCAGATTAGGAAACTAACAAGGTAGATGCCTTTTTTCTGATATTCGTGGTCCGTACACCTTTCCAATGATTAAACCAGCCTTCTCCCACAGAATTCAGAAAGCTTTGCAGCCGGTAGCCACTAGCAACAGTTTTGAAAACCTCTTCAGGAAAAAAAAAAGATATAGTTTCATCTATTTGACCACAGCTCTCCTTGGGGAGGCGTGGGTTGGTTGATATTGTGCTGATAAATTACTAACTCCTACCTAGTGACTTTGGAGTTGCTAATTTATTCTTAAAATTCTCTCTCAGAGCTCACGAGGGGACAGGCAGTGTTCTCACTGTTTCTGAGAGGGAACCGAGCTGCTCGGCGATTACTTGCTTTGCCCGAATGTCGCCAACCAGATGGGCGAGGAGGACTCTGGGCTGTGGCTTACGCTTCTTCACGGCCTGCTCCAAGGGCTCTTCCTTGCCCAGATTTTAGTTTCCTGAGGAAGCGCCTAGCTCGCTGGGGAGATCTCCCTTATTCACACCGAGTACCCTCTTGACATCAGCATGGGGTTATTTATAATGACACACACATGTGTAAACAAAATGATTAGCTATTCTCATAGAAACATAATTATATCTCTCTAAAGTAATGCATGCGGAAATGTCAGAACCCAGCGACAGAGCGAAGACAATCAGCACGACCCCATTTGTATGAAAACAGTGGGTTATTAAGGCAGAATATCGTACCTGTGGCTCGTTTCCTGATTTGAGGTCACATACAATCGGGCCTCAGTGAAGTCTTAAACAACGAAAGTACCTTTTAGGGCAATTAGTGTCCTGGATGCGAAGCTGAGTGACCTTTCTGCTATTGTCCAAGGACACTCCATGCATTGAGACTTTGGTTCAGGACAGCAATAAAGAGCAACATTCCAGAACTCGGCCAGCTAGTTCTGAAAGCACAGGGTCCCTTGGCATCTGGGTGCGCCCCCCTCCATCAAAATATCTTTCGAAGATAGAATGGGGTGATTTGGCCAGTCGGTGCCAGTGCCTAGGGTCTTCCTTCTCTAGCTTAGGACAGATCTGGAGCTCACACTCGAAAGAGCGGGGTCACGGGACGCCTGCAGCTCGTAAGTGTGGTTTCCTCAGAGCACAGTAAACCCCGCAGCAAACCGTTCGACACCCCCGGCCCTTGAGTGCTTCTCCGAAACTGAAAACATGGGCTCACATGTTCATCCGCAAAACGTTCTCCTAATTCTTAAGGAAAAGTAGCACTTTCGAAGAGCGTTTTCAGGCGTGACTGCTCTTAACACTCGCCGCATCGGCATCCTGGATGAACAAGCGTTTGTGGAAAGGTCGTTCTTAAATTGCTAGTTTGTAGTCGCTCCCTCATGGATGCGATCATTTTTTCAGCTAATTTTTTAAAATACAGATTTACATTTATGGGACCAGCCAACCAGTCTGTCAATGTATACCTAGCGATTAATTTGCTGCAATATGAAACCACCATCTCACTGAAATAGTGGGAAAAGTTCAGCCTCAGAAGGAAGATAGAGTAGGAATTTGCGTTGACAGTGAGAGGCATCAGGAGAAGGCTGGATTGAGACTCAGAAATTGCTCTGTCTCTAAGTAGGGCGAAGAGTTTGGACGAGTTACTTTGTTTCTGTGTGCCAAAGCTCCTCAGTTAGTGCAAAACTATCAAATGTACTGGAAACCACAAAGTGCTATGCAAGTTCGTGGCACTGTCCTGTACCACGATGGTTATTATCTACAAAGGGAAATTGAAGGAAGTGATCTAAATAGCTTCTAGGCACTTCCAGCCCTACTCTCTCAAGCTTGCAGACTCTCTGGGTCTATAATTTGAGCATTTTAGCCCAGTAAGTATTGCCTGGTGCTTGGCGTAAGCTTAGCAAACTCTAAATGTTTATTCTTTTGCTTGAAGATGTGGGACTTCTCTTAACTGACTGTCAGTACACGCTCTAGTTCTCTAGAAATAAGACCTGATGGACCAGACAGGTAAATGCTTTAAATGACGGGTCCCCAACCCCCGGGCCACGGACCAGTACCAGTCCGTAGCCTGTTAGGAACAGTCCATAGCCTGTTAGCCACACAGGAGGTGAGAAGCGGGCCAGAGAGCGAAGCTTCACCTGTATTCGCAGCCGCTCCCCAGCGCCAGCATCACCGCCTCAGCTCCACCTCAGGTCATCAGGCATTAGATGCTCACAGGAGCACCGGTCCCTAGTGCCACAAAGCTGGGGGACCGCTGCTTTAGGGGACAGCGAAGACCCATGTTTATATTTAGCAGGCTGGAGAGGAACCTGTGGGCAACAGTGTGCACATCTCACTTGACCGTTTCCTTCACCGATGTGGTGGCCCTCCAGTGACGTCACTCTCTTTGGCTTTCAGATCTGAGCTACGCCTGGCTCTTCAACGAGTCTCCTTCCTACCAGGATAGCCGACGCTTCGTCTCTCAGGAGACTGGGAACCTGTACATCGCCAAAGTAGAAAAGTCCGATGTCGGGAATTACACCTGTGTGGTCACCAATTCAGTGACGAACCACCAGGTCCTGGGGCCACCCACGCCGCTGATCCTGAGAAATGACGGTGAGTCTTCCAAGCCACGTGGCGAGTTCCGTCCCCTGTGACCACAGGTGCAGTGCGGGAAGTCGGGATGTTATTGGCACACAGAGCTTGGTCGTCTAAATCACACTTAAGAAAAACTTCGCACTTTGTGCATTTGGTATGCGTGTTTTCTTCACTTGTGTAACAAACAAACTTGTGAATCTGTTTTGGAAAACTAATTAGAAATCTAA